GAGGGGGGCTGGGGTGCGAGCTCAGGCGCGCGCGTGGGTTGCACGCTTGGGGTGGGGGGGAGCGCTCGGGGTGCACGCTCGGGGTGCACGCTCGGGGTGCACGCTTAGGATGCGTGCGCAGGATATGAGGTCGGGGTGGGAGCTTGGGGTGCAGGCTGAGGGTGCATGTTGGGGTGCACGCTTGGGGCGCACGCTTGGTACGCTCAGGCTGCGAGCTCGAGGTTCTCTTGGGGCGCACAGTTGGGGTTCACGCTCGGGCTGCAGCCTTGGGCTGCGAGCTCAGGCTGCGAACTCGAGGTGCTCTTGGGGGTGCAGCCTCGGGGGTGCACGCTCAGGCTGCGAGCTCAGGCTGCGAACTCGAGGTGCTCTTGGGGTGCAGGCTGAGGGTGCGCGCTCAGGGCGTGCGCTTGGGCTGCGAACTCGGGCCGTGAGCTCGAGGTGCTCTTGGGGTGCAGGGTGCGCAGTCGACGGCGGGGGGGGGGGGGTCCCCCCTCCGGATGCGAGCCTGGGCTGCGAGCTCAGGCGGCGAGCTCGAGGTGCTCTTGGGGGTGCAGTCTCAGGGGTGCACGCTCAGGCTGCGAGCTCGGGGGTGCCCTCCGAGAGGCGGGGGGGGGTGGTGGCGGCGGGGCCCCTCTCCTGGGGGGGGCCCTGTGCCCCCCGCGTGGCGGTTTCCCCGCGGAAGGTTGTTTGTTTCAGGAAATGGCTTTTGCATGTGGCAGTTGTTACAGGAACGAGCGGCTCTGCCCGAGCGCGCCTGCGCCGAAGCGCGCGAAGGCGAGCCGGGAAGGGTGGCCAAGGGGCGCCGGGGTTGAACTTTGCGGGGGGGGACACACGACGATGACGACCTCCTGCCCCGGGAGGGGTTGAGGTGTGACATCCCTCGCAGGGGCTGTACCACGGCGGGGACACGGGTGACCTGCTCGCTCGTGGCACCCTGCTCGCTCCCAGCACGCTCCGACCCTGCGCCCTCCTCCCTGCCGGCCGCAGGGGTCCCGCTCCCCGTCGTCCCCCCCCCCCCGATGCCCTCCCCCTTGCCCGTTTTTTGCCAGTTCTCAGCTGCCCGCAGCGGTCGCGGGCAATGCCCACCCGGCCTCGGTGCCGTCCCCCGCGGCGGGGACTCCTCCGAAGGCTGCAGGTGCAGGGAGACGGATTGGGGGTTGTTTGTTTTTTTTTTTTTCCCCCTTAAATTCCATATTTAGCACGCTCCGGTCGAGCGGGGGTTCCCGGCGGCAGCTCCTGTTGCGTGAAAACTTCTGGCTTTGCCGTTGTCGCTAATGCACTAATTCCTGTGCCCTGGAAAACCCTGCTCCGGCCGGCTCTTCGCTTTCCAGCCACCTCGGAAGGGGAAATAAAAAAACCAGAGGAGAAAAGCGAGACAGAGAAGAGCATGGAAGTGTCAGGCTGCGAGATTTAAAGCAATTAGGGGAAATTACGCTCGAGGCGCTGGCAAGCAGAGAAATCGCCAGCGGCAGCTGCCGGGGTGTCGGGGAGATGCTGGTGGGCCAGGTCGGGTGGGAGCAGATGGAGACGTGAACCTCCCCCCCCCCTCGGCCTCCGTGGGCTCGTGGGGGTTTCGTGAGCGCTGGGGCCGGTGGCGGTGACTCAGCGGCGCGCGAATCCTGCCAGGGACTTGTCACCGCCCCCGGGC